GTCCTGGGCTCAAAAGCGTTAAATCCAGCCGTGAGAGCGAATCAGCATGCCTAGGTAACTTATTCCTGCTCACAAAGAAGCCTCATTGCCGCCCGTTCCCTGACCTCCGTCCCCTCCGCCTCCACTTTCCTCATCTGCCTCCTTACCCCTTCCTCTTCGAATTTGTACTCGCTGGCAAGCAGTCTCCTCCATTCGCGATGACGGGGACATTTGTTCCGGACACAGATACCTCGTAGCAGAGTCTTGCGCCTGGCGTCGTCGTCTCCGTCGCCACCTGCATCTCCCTCGTCCATGTCTTGTTCCGGGTCATCCTCAACACCATCAAGCATCACATCCCCATCAGGTCTCTCCTGCTTGACGGGATGGTTACTCGGCTCTGGATCCCCAATCTCACCTTTCTCAAGCGCTATTCTCCCCGCTTCACTATCGTGCCACTCCTCAAACTCAGCCGTCGACCAAGACAACCTCGCATCAAAGCCACAAACATTCTTGGCCTTGGGAACATCCATCTCCTCGATAATGACGGCTGAGCGCGTCTTGATCATTGCAAGCAATTTCTCCTGGTCTCGCAATATCTGCAATCGGCCATCCAGTTGCCTCTTTTTGGCTGACAACCTCTTGAGGTGTGCTTGCTCTTCATAGTTGTAGGGAAATGGTTTCTGGTCTTGCTGACGCTCCTCCTTCGGACCTACACCGTTAAACATTTTGGTGTCCTGGTCATATCCTTCGGCGTCGCTAGTGTAGGGTGGTGTTGGTGGTTTCTGACCGAGCTGGCGGATCTCCTCAACCGTCTTGGCTTGGTTAAGCATCATCTTGAGATCTCCTACTGCGAGTGGTCCGCCCTTGGTGGATAGAGGTGGTTCGTCATCTGAGGAGAACCTCTCTTCATCCAGGAACTCGTTCTTGCAGATTTTGGTCATGGTTGGGGAAATGCTCTTTCTCTTCTTTTGTGAAGGTGAAAGCTTGACACGTCCTTCCTGGTACTCGCTCTCCTCGCCGTTGTTTGCATCGTTGTACTCCTCATCTTCTCTCGCCTTTTTGCGCTTTCTTTTCTTCTTCTCCTGACTCCTGTGATGAACTTTCGACCCAACCACCATCAAGCCATCTTCACTCACGAGAGCGTTCGGATCACTTTTTTTCACCATTCCGACCCAGAATCGCTTGGCACACTCATCGGAGCAGTATTTGCTAGGCGGTTCTGCGAGTACCCGGGCTGGCTTCCTGCATTCGATCCTTCTGCACATCCTTTTCCATGTCGTCTGGCCTCGATCTTTATCTTCACAGTTGGGACAGATGTATTTGTCGATGAGATCTCCATCCCGTTCTTGAATGTTGACACATTTGCCATGAAACCAGTCCTCGCATCCACCATCGCAACCAATCATCCAGGTGTGATTATCACCTTTTCGGCAGATACAGAAGACTTCGTTGTCGTTGTCGTTGTCGGCTTCGTTCTCGTCAGCTCCCTCGGTGGGTACGTAGGCTTGCTCGCCCTCGTCCTCTGCCTCGTTGTCTGTTGCAGGAGCTATTGACATTCGATCCGACGGAGCGGGTGAGGACGCAAGCGACATGCTCGACTGTTTCTTGACATTTACCGCTACCGGTGCTTTGCCTGCACGTGAAGACACAGGTGTGCCTGATGGCGACCGAAAAGCTACAGCTGCCTCAGTAGAGCTATCTATTTCCGTTTTGACCTTCTTAACACTTGTATTCACAGGCTTCGGTTTCGCGGTGCCTTTCTTCTTCGAGGCAGTGGTCTGTGCAGGTAGCATATCAGATGCAGGCCTCTTCTTTCCGGCAACAAGGGCTGGTGTCGAAAAAGTATTCGTTTCAACAGAAGATGCGCGAGATGCAGAACGAGACGCACTGGTTTGTGCTTGTTGACCGCCAGAAGGTGGAGGTAGAGTCTTGACTAAATCTGCTAATGGGATGACAGACTCGCCGGTCTCAGGATCTACCGTCACCTCAATGGCCCGTGCCATGTCAAAATTGGTATCATTATGGATCTTCTTGATATGGTCACGAACCGAACGGCGGCGCGTAAATAGCTTAATGCAGATGTAACAGAGGAAGCGTTTATCACTCGACCCTTCGGAAGGTTTCGCAGCTGGCACTTTCTGTAGCCGATTTACAGGTTTCGAACGAGGGCGCGCACCTGTGCTTGGAACTTCTTGCGCTTCTGTTTTCACTGTCGCATCCTCTCCCTCATCTAACGCTCCGTCCAAGGCTGCTAGCGAAAGTGCCGCAATCTCCTTTTCCGACGCTGGATAACCCGATATTGGTCTACTCTCTGTGACGTCGTCTTGTGTAGTGGCAGTATCGAGTAGAGTAGGCCCTTCATCATGAGCAACATCTGGCAGGGTGGTATCAGTTTGAGCAGGTCCAGGACCAACCGAGTGCATGCCGGGCAACCTGTTCGCGTTAACTTTGTGTTCATCCAAGCTCTCTATCCAAGTTCCAGGTGGCGAGATGTCATATTGAGGCTGGATGGGTGCAAGCGTTGGAGGAGGAAGATGCGACGCCTTAACGATCGATTGGCGGCGTGCGTGGTTCTGCGTAGCTGAAAAGTGGTACTGATCTAGAGTTGGAGATGAGGAGCCATGCTCTAAAGCAGTAGACGGCTCTACCGGCGCAACATGGCTCGTCGTCAGGCTGAATGGAGGTGAAAGATCCAACTTGGCTGTAGGGATAGATACCGGAGTCGGAAGTGGTGCGCTCCCATGCCTAACGCGTCTGTCAGCACAATCTCGGAGCTGAAGGTGAAAGTCAACTCACGTCTCAACATGTCCAGGCGCCGCGTCTGAAGGATTGTCAAATTGGTTTGAGTGAAGTGGAATGGAAGCTGGTCCGGCAGTCGGAGCTGGATTGAGCAGCTTGGACAGCTTGAAGCTCATCCTGATGAACTCATTGAGATGACGCCCTAATCAAAATTTAGGACTAGGTGATGGACGAGACAGTAGACAAGTTAGATCGCCTCTTGCGACTGTCCCGTGCTTCCGAAGAACGAAGATCGGTGCTGGTGTTGTGATCAGCAATGGTGTCTGCAGAAACGGTGCATAGCGCAGGTCAGCGCAGGTGGGGGTAGGAGCTGTGTGCTTCACACTTCCGGAAAGCCTTCACACCTAAAACAGTACGTAGTACTGAGTGGCTTCGGGGACTCACACTAAGCGCGATTAGACTGTCACTTGCAGAGCATTGTATGGTAATTATGGTACTAAGTCTAGCACCGTGCCAACATTCAATTTCAAGTCAATGATATCAAGCAGTCGCTTATGACGACAGGACTTAGGTTTGATTATTAGACGATGTGAGCTACATGGTTATGTACTGAGCCTACGGATAACTTCAATCAAGGTACAGGTAGCCAAGTCATGCCAATACCTTGTAATGAGGATAACCGGAGTAAAAAAGAATGAAAATGGAGGATGGTGAACACATCCAATACAGAACAGCGGTGGCTTTACACCTCGTTCAGACCATGATCAGCATATGATTATGTGTAGTACTAAGCTCGGACCAATCTTGTCCCAGGGCATGCAGGTGAACGCTCTAACTAGTCAATAGGTGGCCTGATATCGAGAAGGAAGGCGGTTCTTTCAGCATTAACTAGCTCAACACCAGACCTACAGGGGTCATCATGCACCTTGCATTTGCCGGGTGATCTTATTACGTACTATGTACATATCAATACTTTGTTAGTCATTGGTGTTTCCAGTTATAATATGCATATTGATCGTCAACATCGGCTTCAAGGTTGAACGCACAGCATTCCGACTCAACCAGTACATTAGATGTGGTTTTGCGCAGCTTACCTCAACATGGAGACACAGCACCCTACACAGTAATTGGCAGAAGTACCGTGTACGAGTTGAGAGGCCCTAGACTCGATAGCGCTTACATCTGCGGAAAGTCCCACCCAATAGATAAGTAACTGATGGGCGACAGGTGGTTGCACCACAGCAGTGACTGCGGGGGCTGAGAAGAGCTCTCAGTTACATCATTGGTGCTCGAACAAGCTCTGGCTCACACATGGTGGCAGCTACTGGTAGGAATGGCCTGACTAGTTCCCACAGGGCTGGTCCATCCTCAGATCGCCCCAAAAACAGATATGGACGCCTTCTGTAGTCGTTGAATGCGAAATTACAACCACTGGGTTTGATGGTTTTGCCAGAGCCTTGCTCTTGTAGCACACGAGTTAGGCCACCGCCCTTGTTAATGCACGTCTATTTGCGCTATCTTCTTCAAGCCGTCACCACCTCTGTTGCCTGTGGTCTCATCCAGCAAAAGTCATAAACACGAACACAGTCATCTGACCATATCACTATGGTCACCAATGCCGATGCCTTAGAAGAAAATATGCTAACAGAAGACTTTCGAAATGGCTCGAGCTGATCAAAAGTTAAGATCTACAGGCCGAGATGTCTTTGTCAATTTCAAACCCAAATCTACTGACAAGCCTATTCTTGAGGACACGGCACAAGAAATCGCCTCACAGAACTCCCGTTCGGTCGAAGATGCCGTACCAACGACCCGCTTTCAATTCATTGATAATACTTCTGCTTCCTCCTTGTCTGGCAATTCAACACAGGTTCGTCGACATGTGATGAAAGAGTTCATGCGCCAAAAGCGATGGCAGGATAAGAAGCGTCAAGAGAATCCTCCAAAAGAGTCTGGTTCGACGTTGAGGAGGCCCGCTCGGAAGATCAAAGCTCGAGGAAAAGCACATCAATCCGAATCAACAGCCTCATCAGGAGCGTCCTCTCCCAGCGTATCCGGCACCGGTTCACTGGACGAGTGCCAGACTCAGCCCAATGCTGTCCATAATTCGGCATATTTAGCCTGGAGTAATGATCAAGTCGAAGAGATTGAACGAAATGTCACCATCCCCGGGCAAGCTGAGAAAGGCCACCCAGATTTCTTCTTCTTGGAACCATCTGCTTTTGCCAAATTAGCAGATATCTCCTCAAGTGAATCCTCCCGGACAAGGAGCATAAGTTCCTGTGATTCGTTCTCTACTGCTGGTAGCCTGATGTCCAGTGAGTCTTTGCATGTTTATGTCAGCCCGGACCCACAATCTGTTTTAAGTGCTGCTCGTACCGATCCTTTCGACTGCCTACCGATGAAGCTCAACCAACAAGACAAGGAACTCTTTGATTTCTACGCCAATGTCATGCCAGCTTGTTCTTATGGATTCGAGAGGCGCTCGCCGCACGCCCACAATTGGTATCTCTCCGTGTTCATTCCCGAAGCCATGAAAGGAGCTGTATGCTTCCAGAACACCATCCTTGTCCATGCGGCGAACACTCAGGCATGGGTGAAAGGCTTGACTGAAACGCCTGCCTCAATCGAGCATCGCGCTCGAGCATCGCAATTACTCTTACAACATTTTCAGAGCTCTCCCACCGATACGTCTGACGCCTCCATTTCGGCAACACTTTCTGCCGCTGCCCTAGAAGACTTTGACCCACGCATCCAGCGACGCGAATATGCATGGATGCATTTTCGTGCAGCTGTGCAGAAGATACGCGACCGGGGTGGCCCATCTGTGCTTGTCCAGCACAACCGGCTTCAGATGCTGATTAATTGGTCAGATTACATATTATCTGGGTACAGTTCCAACGGACCAACATTCTATTTTCATCACGATCCTACCGCCATGCCGTCTCATCCACTCGAGGCACAGCAGATAGCGGTGCAAGAAATAGAAGAACAGTGTGAAGAGTTTATCAAATTTCTCCGATGCACTGAGCAATTAGCCTTTGTTCAGGCCCAAATTCGGAAAACGCCAATTGCCGTTGAACAACCAATGAGATATACCGCTTTCATACCCGGCCAGCCTCTGGAACGATTACTGGCAAGTCCTCCTGGTCTTAGGTACACCGAAACAGGCCAACTGAAGCAAATCATTTCGCGGTTGGCATCTCTGCTGACAATCAACACTGCCATCTGGGAATACCGACATTCGACAGACATAAGCGAGGAATTCTTCCGAGAGCTTATCGAGAACGTCAAATACAATGAATTGGACGTGCACCTTTCTGTCGAAGCCCTGATTCAAATCTTGCTTAGCGGCAGCAAGAACCCTGCTCTGCTTGACACTGAAAGGCCATGGTTCGTTGGTCGCATGCTGAAAGTCGCAAAGCGACTGAAAGAAACTTCTTTTCAAAAGCTGAACAACGTGCTGCTAAGCCATCTCACATTGGGCTCTGACCTGCACCCAGTGATGAATGATTGGGAAAATGACCTGCGGCTAGAAATCCTCGGAGCCCCACTGACCAGTCACGTTCTACCTCTAATGCAGTCCTCCCCGCCGAAGGTGTCATGCTAATCTGGAAGAAGGATGCATCTCCGCCAAAAGGACAGCGCTAATGGGTTTCAAACCACACACTTAGTTGATGAATCTTTACTGACAAATCGAGCAATCGATTACCCAATTGATTTCTGTGCTCAGCGCCAGTCAACCGTCCTGATCAAGCAAGAGAGTGACTCTGCCGTGGCTTGTCCTATTTTTAGTATGATATGCTGTCGGAAACCCTGCATACACCCCTGGTTATCAGCACGTATTACTTCTTCTATGCATTTGGAGTATACATTGGGAAGCACAATGAGAAGTAGAGATCGTTGCACAAGGTCCAAACAGCACATATATTGTAACCAGCTTCATATGCAAAATCCAGATAACTGGGATTATGTCTCTTGAGGACCTACGTTAGCTTCCGCAACGGAATTACCGTGACAGTTCCAAGGTCTCCGCCCTGTGGCTGCACCGGGATCAATCCTTCCCTTCCACGAGTCGGGCCTACGTTAGGCTTGGTGGCTTTGTTCAATCAACAGAGCATCATTCACCCTCCTGGACTAGACATTCGTTCCAATGTATTCGAAACCTTGTATGTCCAGCGGTCGCACATTGTGATCAATACAGAACGTGCTCTGAGTTACCTCATCCTTGACCCTCCTGCGCCGCAACTGTGCCGCGCTGTTGCACGGGTTCAGCTCTACCACATCTCATTGACCCTTCCCATGCGACTCGTCCGAAGCGTCGCATCACTTCATAAATGGCGATGAACTGCTTTGATGTATCTTTAACCGAGAACTTTCCCGCTTTGTTCTGGCACCCCATTGTTGACCAGAAAAACAGCTTCCTCAACGCGCATCGAGAGTGCGCACAGAACCTGTCTACATGTTTTTTTGTCCAAGAGGTGTGTACGTAGAAAGATTTTCCCTGGGTTTCATTACTAATTGCCAGCTAAATAGGTGAAGGCTGAGAACTCAAATCGCCAGGCATAGACTTCAAGTCTCCAAACAATGCCAAAATTAATAGTCATCTTCTGCTGCGTCTTTGCCAGCTTAGGCTCTTTCTTGTTTGGCTACGACTCCGGCATCATTGGCTCGGTCATTGCAATCCCAGCATTTGTAGCATACATTGGGGATGGCAACCTCTCCGATAGCGCAACCGGTGGCATTGTCTCCGCTTACACAGGCGGAGCGATTATTGGATCCTTGGTTGTGAGTTGGATTGCAGACCCTTTCGGACGCAGAATGGCAATCTTTGTTGGCTCAGTCTTCGCGGCTGTGGGAGGTGCGGTGCAGGGCGGTGCTAATAACATTGCTGCAATGGTTGTCGGACGGCTTCTTGCAGGCATCGCTATAGGCATGCTCTCTGCCACGATACCCAATTACTGCTCCGAGGTAGCCCCTCCCGGTATACGGGGTTTGCTAGGAGGTACGCAACAGTGGATGTTGGGTCTTGGCTTCGTCGTCGCTCAGTGGGTCGGTTACGGAGGATCACAAGCGACGGGTGCTTTCAGCTGGAGGTTTCCTCTATCTCTGCAGGTTTTGCCAGCGGTGATTTTATGCGGTGGTATCTTTCTCCTGCCAGAGAGCCCCAGGTGGCTTTTGGAGCATCAAAAGGTTGCAGAAGCCCAGTCCAACCTAGAAAAGTTGCATCTGAACAGGAGTCAGACCAACGCGGACTTTGTTGCTCGCGAATTCCAAGAGATCCGAGATGCGCTCCTGGCAGAGAAGGCTGCAATTACCTCTGTGTCATGGAAGACGATATTCACGAATGCTCCATATCGACGACGCCTTCTTCTCGCTTGTGGCATTCAAGCATTCACGCAAACTTCTGGGATCAACGTCATCAACTACTACGGCCCACGCATATACGCAACCCTTGGATTCTCCGTTTCGACGTCGTTGTTCATCATTGGCGTCTACGGCGCGTTTGCTCAACTGTGGAACACGGTATGTCTTGCTATCATGGATCGTGTCGGCCGGAAGAAGCTGCTTCTACCCTCGATGTTCGGAATGGGAGCAGCTTTGTGCGTTAACGCCACGCTTGCGCGGTATTTCAACCCTGAGACGAGTACCAACCAAGATGCGCTTCGAGCAAGTGTCGCCATGAACTTTGTCTTTTCGGTCTTCTTTACGAGCCTTGGGGTCATCAGCTGGGTTTATCCTGCCGAGATTATGTCCATGGCGATTAGAGCTCGCGGTACCTCTCTATCCACGGTAACCAATTGGTCCTTGAACCTCCTTTTTGCGCAGTGTTCACCTCTTGCTCTTTCAAGATTGGGATACCGCTATTTCTATATCTTTGCAGCACTGAACTGGGCAGGTGGGATCTCAATCTATCTCTTCTATCCTGAGACCCTCGGTAGGACGCTAGAACAGCTGGACGAGTTGTTTGGTGACCAGAGAGTTGCTCATGCTCTGAAGGATACGACCTTGACGACTGGGGAAGCGTCAAACGACGGATTCACACGGGGAGTCAGCGTAACAATCGACAAGGCGTAAGTTTGACAGTTTTCAGGGCTCTGCTGTCGTTCGAGAGACCCAAAGGCTTCTCCCCAGGAGGCCCCATCGGCCCCACAAATGATCAGCATCCGGTCCGCCTTGGATGATCTGTTGATATAGATATTTTTCAGTCTTTGCAAGCCTGATTGTGAACCAAATCTCCAATTTTCGATCATGTATTGTGACTGGAGCTACGCGATATTGCGCTACTGTTGATCGTACGCTGCACGTTTGTGCCGGTTCTCTAGTGATGATTGATTTCAAATACAGGATTTGTGACTTGATACGAGCTACACTCATTTTCCCTGCTGTTTTGGTGCATTGGAACGTGGTCTGAGACAAACTACTGGTCGTCGGTGTGCTTGAGCAACGAATATGCCAGTATGCTCTAGGAAGGCATCCTGAATATCTCATGCTCCAAGAACGCATCCTGAATGTCTCATGCTGGAAAATGCTGGAAAATGATACTTGGTGGGCTTGGCTTAGCACAATGATGTTACCTTTCGAGGCTGAGCACATGGCGTTGCGATCGCCGCTGTCAACCAGATCAGTAGCTGCGCTTTGGTCTTGCTCCTCGCGTGCATTCATGCCCAATGTTCTACCCGGTACACAAATGTTTACGGATCTGAACTGTAGATCTCTGACCGCTGCCCTGAAATGAGCCACACCCCGCGTCAGCTCTGACGATCGTGGCATTAGTAGTAGTCGAAGTCTAACAGGGTGGGTTGTATGCCGTGGTACTTACTAATCCTCGTATCCTCCGCTTAACCCCGGTGGAAACTCGGGGAAGAGACGTGTACTACGTAGTAGGTGGATTAAATGACTCCTACGCAGCAGAGGCGATCCCTACTGCAACCCTGTGCCTGCTAGTCAGTGACGATGGTTTTGTGCTGATCTTGACTCGTTGACAGATGCTACTAGTAGTCTATAATCAAGAGCAGCCTTGTCAGTCCTGAAGACTCCAAGCATCTTTTCCCGCATTGTTCTGGGTTCCTCGCAGCGTCTCTTACCTTCTAGACCTCGATTTCCTTAGGTCATATTTTGGTGACATAATCCCTCCAATTCACAAATTCTGTCCCCTCCTTTTGTCTTATATTTCGTCTTGCAGTTTGGTCGCTGTCGACCAGAGTGTAGCGCACGATTGCACAGGGGCTTCTTTTCTCGTTCTGCCACGGTTTTGCACCTCAGCAGAGAGTAGCAGCTGAGAAAGAAATACCGCAAATAAACGAGCAGATCTATTTTGCAAGCCACAAATTTCTCCGCTCTCCAGTGGATTACTTAGTACAGGTGCTGCCTTCCAATTTTGCTTCAATGCTACATAGTTCAAATCCGTTACCTCATTACAGCTCTCAAGCAAGAAGTGAACAGTCTCAACGACATGAGTCCGATACCGAGTCCAGGATCATTGTCTAGCGAAGATGACGAAGAGCAGCAATCTCTATCTCATGAGCACCTAGCGGAACAGCAAGGTGCGAGCTCGAAACCCTCGACACCATTGAGCATTTCTCATGGATGCCAGCCACCAAAACCGTCAATACCAATGCAGAAGCGCAGAAGAGTCACAAGAGCATGCGACGAATGCCGGCGCAAAAAGATCAAGTGCGATGGTGCGATACTCGGAATCAAATCACGTTACCCAGGCTAACGGCAATAGGGAAGCAACCGTGCACCCATTGTACCGTGTACAGCTACGGTCCGTCGTCAGTTATCCAGCTGCATGTGACCACTTCATACTGATCTGGTTCCAGAATGTACATATGATCAACCCTCAAATAGACGAAGAAACCCGGCTCCCGCCTACATTGAGGCGCTCGAAAGCCGGCTGCAGAAAGCAGAAGCTATTCTGAGAACTGTCCTACCAGGAGTCAATCTCGACGACCCAAAATTCGATGCTCACGGGATCGACCAAATCATAGATTTTGCACGACATGCCAAAACAGGCGTGGCAAGGGGACAGCCTGCATTCAAAGCAACGCGATCTACTGATGCGCAAGATGACAATGCCCAGCTGCAGACCATGGTGGAAGGCACTGGATCATTAGACCTGGACGATCAGGGGCACTGGGATTACCATGGAAATTCATCCGGTCATACTTTCATGCGGTATCTTAGTGCTCAATTTGGCGACTTGTTTGTGTTCGATTCTCGCCTTCCTGATTCGAGGAGCCGCGCAATGTCCCATCTTATGGAGTCTCCCAAGACAGCTTCTTCTTCTTCACCCTATGACTCAAGCATTCCCCACTCCGCTGAATTACCAGATAGGAGGACTGCCATGCAACTTTGCAGAAATACATTAGAAGACGCATGTTCTTTAATGCGTTTTGTTCACAAGCCCCACTTTTACGGCAAAGTCAACAGAATCCTCAACACAGATCCAGACAATTATACAAATGCTGACACACAATTCCTTCCACTGCTGTATGTGGTGATGGCCGTAGGCTGTCTGTTTGCTCAGACGGAGGACACAACGCTCGACACACATGGATATGAAAGCGCAATCGAACAAGGGTACCATCAGAAGTCTCAATGTACAGCCAAATGCTAAAATAGGTTCAGATTCCAGTATTTCCTGACTGCACGAAACATGCTCGATATTACGGATTGCAGAGACCTTACAACCCTACAAGCTGTTGTCTTCATGATTCTGTTTCTACAGTCTACGGCCAAATTGGCTACCTGCTATTCACATATTGGAATCGCCGTGAGAGCGTGCTGCCGGCTTGGCCTCCATCGCAATATCAAAAAAGAGTTCAATCCCATCGAGCAAGAGGAGAGGAAAAGAATCTTCTGGCTCATACGAAAAATGGACACCTACGTAGGGGCTTTGCTTGGGCTACCGACGATGCTGAGCGAGGAGGATGTAGACCAGCCACTGCCAATAGAGGTCAACGACGAGTTCATCACCACAACCCAAATTTTGCCAATGCCAGCAGGCACATTTTCGCTTCTTCGCGCAAGCAACGCACACACCAAGTTAACTTGTGTTCTGGAAAAGGTGGTGAAGTTCATCTATCCCATCAAAGGCGTCGAATGCGTCAGCCCTGGAGAGCCATACTCAATTAGTCATTCGAAGATCCGGGAGATTGAGGAGGACATGCAAACATGGATGGACGATCTTCCAATGGAACTGAAACCTTCAGATAACGCGCCACCCGAGCTTGCTAGGTAAAGCCCAGATCAAGTAGCAGCTGGAGATGGGCGGACTGACAAGAACATAGAGTGCAGCAACTACTTCGCTTATCCTACGCACACCTACAGATGATGATGTATCGACCATTTCTGCACTACGTATCTCAAGCACATGAATCGAGAAATGTAGACAAGCAATCCTATGCTTGCGCTGCTGCCTGCGTTAGCGTAGCACGAAATATTGTCCACATCACGGCTGAGATGAAGAGAAGGGGATTGTTGATCGGCTCATACTGGTTCGTGATGTACACATCCTACTTCGCGATAGTCTCCCTTGTCTTTTTTGTTTTTGAGAATCCACAATCTCCTACTGGAAACGAGATCTTGAAAGACGCGACGGAAGGACGAGACGTGCTCGCCAGCCTTGCGAAACGGAGTTTAGCAGCGGATCGCTGCACTCACAGCCTTAAGGTAGATAAGACTGGTTACTTGCTTCGACCAGGATGACGCTGATATTGTCTAGGGCTTGTTTGCTGAACTACCTGTTAAGCTTCAGCAGCGAAAGAGTCAATCGCAGTCTATGCCAGCCTCCCGCAAACGCCCAAATCCAGCGCTTGAATTGGCGCACAAGGGTCATCAAAGTGTGCCAACCGTGTCGCGGATCACGAATACCCGGGCACCCGATCGAGCAAGTACTTCCCCAAGTGGCATCACTATGGTAAGCGCAGCCCAGTCAATGGCCAGCCCAAATTCTGCCGGCGTCCGTGCTGCTTTGAACGACAGACCCCTTCTGCAATCTGGACAACATCATCCGGAATCTGCATCCGCAGTGACCAGTTCAAAATTGGCGGACAAGACACAGCTGGCGGGAGAAGAAGGAACGTCGTCGCAGATGCTGTATGGGCCGCACTTGAGCAACAATCTTCTGGATCTGGGAGGCCTAATGTACCCATCGACCAACCCCTTTGCGTACGGCAACCAACCATTGTCTATTCTGGAGAATACACAAATGATGACAGCAGAGCCACAGACCTCGTTCGGAGGACCTACAAATGCATTCGGCATACCAGGAAGCACTAACAGCCCACACAACGTGCCTTTCAATCATTTCAGCGATCATCCTTTTGGAGATTCACGATCGCAAGCCGTGTATCAGCATGACCGCACTGGCGTAACAACATCACCAAGCCGCACGCTTCCGAATTTTCATTTGCCACAGTCAGCCAGCACACAAGAAGCAGGGAATCTAAACCCAGACGAGGAGTTCTGGCAACAAATGGCCAAGGCCCGTGCGGTATTGACGCCGGGCATTAACCTCGACGAATTGTTTGGGAGTGATGGTGGATGGCATCCGGTCTCTATGGACCAGGGATTTGGAAGGACATAGTTCTGAGTTTGGGGGGTATTGTCAATAGTGGTGGCTGGGCAGTCTCGCAACTGTGGGCATGCTTCAAGGCGTTCCAGACAGAGCTTCGGGCAAAATTATGGGTTCGTCTCGCATACATTGGCGGCTGTATAGACGAGCAGCATAAGCATTTACGGCCGATTGTATATAGATGTGTAGTTCGCCCGTGAGCTGCTCACGTATTAACAGAGATCTGAAGACGCGTAAGGGTGATATTGTAGGGGATCGTTTTGAATTATTGACCCGCTGTCTGACGTGAAGTACGGAACCGTGATGCCAGACAGGATGCACTTATCAAACTTCAAGCTTCGATGCACATAAATTACCACCTTATTACTGAATTCAAGACAAATCTGAGCATTGCTATAATCTCCGCTGTTGCCAAGCTAACATTGGCAAGGTTAGATTGTCTTTCATGACATACTACTTTAAGTTAATGACGACTGACCAGGAACCACTGAGAAAGACACTTTAGCCGAGTTAGGCTGCTACATGGTCCAAGCTGGTCTGAGGCGTGAGATATGGGGGCTCGGACCAGCTCGAATATCCACTGAGCTGGTCTGAGCCGGCGCCAAGGTCTCGTCAAAGATCGGAGCTAGGAGCTAAAATTATTGAGAGTTCTCGCCAAACGCAATTTCAGAAAAGTGTTCGAGGGCAGTCCTTAGCTAATGGAGCAGCTTTGATAGTATTAGTAGGTCCTGAAATCTCCTCTTGATGGCGTTTTTGAACCATTTGCTATGGCTCAATAAGTATTTTCCTATCCTCTTACTGCCTTATAGGGGAACTGAAAATTTAAGGTTTAAGGTTGCAAGAACTAACCGCATTCGGTTTACGCTAGTGGGCCTGATTGACTAATAAAAAAACGGGTCTATTTAACGTCAGAATAGTGGATACAAGCGTCCTGCGCACTTTTCTTCCCTATTATGACCTTCTGACCATCGTACACAGTTACAACACAAGAAAATCAATTATTCTCTACATCACTATCTTCCTCAGACGTCTCTTTAACCTCCTGACAAGTTCGTACATTATGGTTAGTCTTGCCGCATCTTCCGCAACGCTGTAAGCCCAATGACCTAGCCTGTGTAATACCCCCTTCTACCGACCTTCTACTTGACTGCAGTTATATAATCTCTTTCTGCTTAATTAAACTATATATATCCTCTATAGTAAGTACATCTTTAACTTATACACATGTTTTTTTAGCCCTTTAACGCTTTACAAGAGCCTTATTAGCATTATAAAGCGTACAGATCTTCTTATATAAAAGGGTTATTTAATAAGCAATTACGGACCGCCTTATGCAGAAGGGTCATTGGATGAGCAGTCAGCTCTGTACCCTTCGCCAATTGCTTGACAGCTGAAAAAACATCACTTAGAGAGCTTCCTTGATGTCTAGCAATACGATTTCGTACGTGCTCTGATTGTGAAACGGCGTCGTTAGGATTGTGTGGTGTCTGAGGGACCGAAGCTTGGCGCAGAAATTTACGGGACTTCTCAGATTCCTGCTATGCTACACGGCTATTTAATAGGGGATAGGGCGCCCATTCCGCTCGTTTAGGGCAGCTACTCTATCTGGCATTTTTGAGATAGCCTCATTAATCTCCTTGATGGTTATTTTATCCCACTCCTCTTGAATAGCGCGGCGCAGAATGGCTTCTTCGAAGATGACCCCCCTGGACTTCAAACGCTGCTTTATTATCCTCCAGATACTCTCAATAGGATTGAGATCTGGCGAATTCAGAGGATTCATATCCCATTGGATACCAAGACAGGCTTTGAGAGCTTTGACCTTATTAAATCGCTTGCCTTTGGTTCCATGAGGCCCATCATTATCTTCAATCAAAACGCAATCCTTATCCCATTCAGGAGCGACGATTTGCTCAAGAATAACCATATAGTCAGCTTGAACAAGGCGTCCCCCTATACCAGAGCCTGTATAGAAATGGAGCTGACCCTTGAAATTCCATCTAATAACGCTATACACATGTATAGATTGGTTTTGACGCTTTAATTTGAATTAGGTCTTTGAGAGGGCATTTCGAGCCTCATAACCCTTTCGATGATGAATTCGAGCTTGCCGTTGCAAGCAAGTAGCGAAATAGGACTCGTCGCACTATCTATACTTCTTATAGAAGTAGAGCTGACCCTTGAAATTCTATCCAACAATGCCATATACGTGTATAGATTGACTTTGGCGTTTTAATCTAAATTGGATCTTCGAGAGGGCATTTCGAGCCTCATAACCCTTTCGACGATGAATTCGAGCTTGCCGTTGCAAGCAAGTGGCGAAATGGGACTCGTCGCACCATCTATACTTCTTAAATTGATCTAATTGCCAATATCGACGCTCAAATCCCCATATAATTCGGGCGTCAATATGGGCTTGTGAGAGCATTTTTTTCTGCGCTGCCATATAGGTCCCCACGCCAAAATCCTTCATATTCTGTTGAATTGCACATTCGGAGCCATTTGCTATACCAATTGTCTTTGCCACCTTAAAATGACTTAACGAAGCAAAGCCAAAATTTGCATCTTCAACAGCTTCAATTGCTTCGCACTCATATGGAGTAAGTATCTTTTTACGACCTCGATTATGGATCTTTTCGCTGCGGCGCGCAGTTCCTTCTTGAATGATTCGATAGCCAGTTGTTCTAGATACATTATGTATCTTAAATAGCTGTGTACGAGGCAATTTGCCAGCTGTGTGGCGTGCGTCAGCAAGAAGGCGCGCACGGCGCGGCGTATCGAGCATCGTTTTTGACGTTCGTGAGGCCGCAGGAGAAGGAGGATCTATCGAATTTGACTTTCGGCAGACGCGGCGTCTATTTCCCTGTTTAGAATCCATTGTTCCCTAAATTTGAGTGAGTATTGGTAGAGAAATCGAGGAATGAAGAAGGGGGGAGGAGGAAGGGGATCTGAGAAGTCCCGTAAATTTCTGCGCCAAGCTTCGGGCCCTCTGGAGCTGTGTACCACCTTCTTCTACGCGTGGCGTAACCATATTTCGAGCCTGCGAAGCCAATAAAACTCCTCCTTTTTGTAGCTGACGTTGAGATTGAGTTCTTCGTTCTCTTCGTTCTTTTTCAGCTGCTGTAGAAGCCTCTAGATCCTTTCGAAATTGTACAGCAGTTTTCGCCTGAATAAGGGCACCCTTGATGAATTTTTGTTGTATCAATTTCTGACGGCTTGGAGATGCGTTTTCTAGCTGAATAGCTTGTGATTCGAGTGCTCGAACAGTCAGAGGTGTTATAGGAGGCGGAATTTCGTTTTCAGGAGGAATAGAAGGTCGTATAGAAGGAGGAGGCTGATATTCTCTGATTTTGCTTAGTACAATCTGTGGATTATACGGAACAAGCCCACATTCGCGAAACGAAGAACGAATAGAGTTGGTTTTGAATGTAGATTGACGAATTCCGCGGATAGCTGTAAGAAATTCAAGTTTGTCGAATTTGCTGTATCCTGTACGAGTTGCTTGATCCACAGCTTGAGCGTGCCAGTGCTTATATGGCTGAAATAGTACTACATCAAGCGGTTGAAGAAAGTGAGTAGCATGCGGAGGGAAGGCGAAGAGATGGATATGCCAGAATTCGCAGAAATTGAGCACCTCTTGCGTTAAATGACTCTTATATCCATCACATAGAAGAATTCTATGTGCGCCTTTTCTAATGTTTCGACTTTGACGTTCAAAATGCTGGATATATGCAAAAGAGAGCTCATCATTGGCATATCCAGTATCTGATAAGCCCACTAGAATCTCATCCTTAAGGTCTTGATAGAAACGCTCTAAATGGACCTTCCCTGGCAGAATGAGCATTGGTTCGATAGTAGCTCCTCCTGCGCTGACTGCCTCTATAGCCGTTACATACTCACGGGTACCTGCACCGAATCTTGACCGCGCCTTGGCACCCAGTTGGGTTGGCGGTTTTTACTGTCTGACTCAGGAATTAGTCACCCGGCTCAACTTCGGCTCAGCCTCTGCTCAGGCCGCACCGCCACTGCTCCCGCTGCTCACCCTCTTGCTCACCTTCTGTCCCGGTGCTGCTCAGGGAACTCAGTCTCGCTCCACCCACACATAGTCCCACTTCTAAGCCCTTGCTATTATTAGCGAACCATGGTATCCTTGCAGCTGTCGTCCCTTCGAATTTTTGGTCAATCTACGCAAAGGTCTGGTGGCCCAGTTTTGGGACCTCCGGGGGGGATGGCGCATTGAATCCTCCTGCACGTTGAATCTGGACTCGCGTGTTGTATATGTCTTTGCAACATGGCGATTTTTAGTGCTGTTGATGTCCGGGCTGCTTTGTCTCCTCTCTCCCCCCAATATCTCCTCTCCCTCTGCTGTTTTGCGTACACTTCTCTTCCGACTCTTGTTTACCCCATCCCCCATCCTCGCATGAAGGTTCATATTCTATGCTTATTTTACTTTTGGTCAACCCTAATTCCTTGTCAAATAACGAAAAAGAAGAGTGCTGCAGAGACACTTCAACAAGCCAAGGAAAGGGGCTCTGAGAAAGATACTGAGATTATAAACGGTGATCCGGTGCACCGAAAGCTTCAGCCTGCATCAGCGAAGCTGTATCAAAAGCAGGTCGACCTCTGGCTCGCGTAAGTTAGATCGCCTGACTGACTCGTAGGAATCAAGTTGACAAGGAGAAATAGTTATCAACAACAGAATCCCGATGCATCTTCATACGATCTAGTTTCGCTGAAAAAGTTCGTAAGGACAATAGCGTTAGCTATTGATGCGCGGATTGCGTCCCTGAAGCCTGTAAAGAGACCGTACGCAAGTACTGGAACAGGTTCACAGCGGCATGGCAACGCCAGCATCCTGCAATCCCCCGCGAAATCACATGCTCCGTCACACAAGTATGCATCTTTTACACGATCTGTTTCGGTCAGAGGAACTAACTTCTTTTCAGTTTATTAAAGGACCTCTAACAGAAGAGTTAAGCCTAACTAACGCAAAACGACCAAGAAGATTCGCTATTAAAGTCGTCTTGAACCACCTAGCTAACCAGCTTTTTGCGGTGGATTAGTTCGTGTACAAATCACCGGCAACACGGTTGGATGATTGGGCTATATAGTTGGGAAACACGTTTTCTTCGGCTTGAATCGGCAAGTATATCGAATCCTCTTGCCGCTTAAAAACCGGTCGAGGTCTCTACTATAAGGTGAGTCCCCTCCTTCATTCCTTAGTCAGTATATCCTTGATTGATTGTTTAATATCAGGACCTGATTTTTGGGGTCTTTTTAAACGAGCTAGGTAATCCAGAATTCGCCCTTCAGCTCACCTGAGATGCCAAAAATATGTCGAACACGCCTGAAAAAAGGTAGATCTCCGGCTCCCTGTATTTCTAGGCCTTTGAACCTAACCTTTAACCTCACAGACCGCAACACCCCTTGTATAAGGGCGAGAAATCTGGGCTTCTCTGCTTTAATCTAATGCTCTTTTACCTCTCTTAGCTCTTAGCACGTAGTGCGTTTAGAGACTACCGTACGTACAACGAGCTTTTGCGAATCGTGCCACCGGAAGGGGAAATGCTCCAGTTATATTGGAAAGAAGAGGTATTAGAGACACCCTTTTTCATCAGCGAGTCTACAGAGAGGATCGAAACCGCGGGTGCATTTAGCAAAAGACTTCGATCGCTCGGTCTATATGTAGGATACCCGGAACCCGTAAGAAATCATGACTTCTGGGCTGAGGGCCTGTATTAGATGAGTATGTGTCTTATCTCTTCTTAATTATTTTGATACTAACTCTATCAAAGACTAATTTGCCCTTGAGGCAACGCGGATGGTCTATGCCAGGCACACAGATCCTAATACTGTGCCGAGACATTACCTCCCCAGAAATAGTGCGGATGGGTAACAGGCCTATTTCGGCAGTAAGGGGCGAACTCTCGTGGGGGACCTCTTCCGCAGACTGACCGTGCCTCAGAACCCGAGACTATGGCAGTGTCTCCCTGCAGAGAAGCAGTACATGCTCGAAGGCGCATTAGAATTCCGCAGGTTGGAAGAACAGATTGCCACTCTGGAAGGCGCGAGAGACAAGGAATCTATCCGCTCTCGAAAGGCCCTGTACAACGAGAAACGCCGGTTAGAGGATCAAGAGCTCCGCGATTGGCAAAAACGGCAGCCTATCAAGTACGACGACCCACTAGGATATCATCAGGCCATCTTTGATCAAGCCTGATTTATGACGCCTGAAAGGGACCGCCTCACGTCTAGTCTGTTCCAAGTTGACACCCTAAGAAGCCCTACAGGCCTCGCAGTTCTTCAGGACCTGATAGCGCTGTATCAAAGGCGTTCGGAAGTAACGTATTGGCCCGGCTTAGAACCGGATAAGTGCAATTGCCAGAAAAAAGACGACTCTTAATCAGGCCTCTATGCGAATACCTCTTACGACTGGAGACATATATATACGTGCTACAAAAAGATTTGTAGCGACGACTATGGCTTTGCTGAGCTGTGCTTTCACTATTATAAGTGGACGATTAGGTCCGAAGCCTGGAACGACCACTGTCAAGAGCATATTAATAACTTGGAGACATTTCTAGTCTGGTGTGACTCTCTTACGTATAGCGGAGTTCTTGCCACAGCTAGGCACTGTCCCTTCTGTCTTACCGATGCCAGACTGCCAGCTACCACGCAGATATATCAGTTCCTTAATCACGGGAAATGGCTGGAGCACGTCCATAAGCACGTTCAGGACCTAGATAATAGTAAACTAGCGTGGTGTCCCCACCCACAGCCTTCCTGTGCCAAATTATTTGAGTCGGTCCTCCATTTACAGTTCCACCTTCAAGACGCGTATAGGATCGACTTTATCAGGGAGCGCGTATCGCTAAAGAGATCCAGAGAGGGAAGCGAAGAAATCCAGCTTGGACGTATAAAGAGGCAGCGGCGTGGTTCCCGAAGAAAAGCTGAGGAGGATCAAGACGCTGTTATCAAAGTAGGATTCAATTTTATTAACACTACATTAGAAACCATGAGCGACCGCTGGCCAGGTTATTCCGAAAAATCTTCCGGCGACTCCACCCCTGTCTGTTTTTGGGACAGCCCCTTGCCAGAGGATGAAGTTCCCTTTAAATACGAAACACCTTTCTCGTCTGTATGCAGCGATGAACTGATTAACCCAGCAATTCTCCCTGCAGTGGCGGTGCCAGGTCTTGGTGCGATTGAGGTCGTGGACCTTACCGATGTTGATGAGATATCTGCGAAACACTCCGATGTAGGGATGATTCAAGGTACGTATAAACACCCACGACCATATTTGTCGCATCTGACCCAGAGAATAGATGATTCTGCACCCGTGAGAGGTGTAGAAGCCGTTTTTCTGGCTGTTGGAGCTGACGTACAGCAAGGGCAGAAGCTGGCGCCTAAGATATCCGCGGAGATCGAACTCACTGTCGTCGATGATTGAGCACTAATCTTGAGCCCTGTGCTGGTGCGTGCTGAAGAGGAATCGGAATACAATCCGCCTGCTGCTGTAGATCCAGATGATAATCAGTGGGCGGTCGAGAAACTAATCGAAAAGCGGCAGATTAGGAGAGCAGTCAAGTATCTCGTGAAGTGGCTGGGATATCCAGACAGCGAAAATAGCTAGGAGAAGAAGAAGGATATTGATCCTGACATTGTCGCGGCCTTCGAGACCGAACTCCTGTTGGCCCAGGATTAGGTCTAGACGTTGAAGAGCAGCTTCCTACGTTCTATTTTGACAGCACGTAACTAGGAAAAAGGTGATAAGCAAAGGACTGTCTGAATTAAGCGTCTATGTATGTTTCCGTGATCAGTTTCCAAAGTATGATCAGTGACCAACCACATTGATCAGGCTTTCCTATTTGGGTAGATGTTGAGACGAATGCTTGGCAATGTCACATGCTGTTATAATAGTATGCCGTAACTTTGTATAAGCTTTTCATAAAGACTTTTGTACGCAATATAATTTACGCTCAATACACGGAGTGATAATAATAAGTTATACAGGGTATTAAGTGGTTACGCAATCATCTCTTTACTTCGTCAGTTAGGATATTTTATAAATAGTAAGAGCCCAGAAAGGGGAACTCTTTGCAATATCCCAGGGTCCGGAAACAGGACCCTATTATGAGTGACTTCACTCTTAATTAAGCCAATCAGGGCTATGGATTTTTGTATTAAGCAGAAAATCATTTGTCGGTACATTGTTTCTCTCTTAATGATATCGTATATGAAATGCAGCCAGTACGATCAAGCAATATTGAACGTCGAAGGTTGAGGAATGAGTGTCAAGTTAAGCTATCGAAGCACATATGTAAGACGAAGCAATTCTTTATCCAAACTCGCACTTACCCTTCTTAAGATAACAAGCTTAGAATCGCAATAGAGCTATCACAGGTTCGTCTTATCTCTAGGCCACAAGACCTGTATATTTGGAAAGTTTTACCTGAGAAAAGAGAACTATTCTTAAAAATATTCTTAAAGAATATAAATGATTATTTGATTAGGGCTTATAAGAAATTGTGTAATAGAGTTAGCTTAACGTTTAAAGCTAAGATAATAATAACAAGAATAAGCGCTACTAATACACAGGACCCTATATTATTAGTGAATGTATATTAGAGCTCTCTTACTTACGTAGATTTCTAATAGCTCTTCTAGACGCTGAAACATTTAGAGGTCAGTTTCAGTACGAAGATCAAAGAACGTGAGGAAGTGAACGCCAGATTAAGTAAAGAACTAAACGAATAGAGAGATCAGGCAGCTACAGAATCTGACCTTAAGCGTCAAGCCGAAAAAGAAGCAAATCAGCTCAGGGTCGCTAACCAACAACTTCAAAAGGAGGCCCGCAACAGCATAATAACTACGGATAATTTCAGAAAGAGTGTTTCGAAGTATGCTTACATATTAGACACGGCTCTACTACTGTTGGCAGAGTTGAAAACAGAAATGTCTTTAAGAGATTCTGAGTCGCTAGGAGATATGATTTTATCTTATTAAGGACTATCTATAGGCTTAAAGTGTAATTAATAGATTAAAACGTTAGAGGTTAAGAACTTAGTGTATAAATTTAGTCAAATAAAGCTATTTCTCAACTATATAGAAAATAATAAAACTCTTTAAAGAAAATACTCTAACTAGACTATACTAAGGCTTGTCTACAAACCGCCTGAAGTTAAGACTAACGTGAGGTTAAGATTATGGGGTACACTATCTATTACTATAGCACTATATTAAGCTGTATAAATGATTTTGTTACTTTTTTGTCTTGACTTCTGACTATCTTTATTTAAGCGTAGTACTAGGGACGTTTACTTTAAGATAATAAGCATATTAAATACGGTAAGAAATTTATGTGATAAAGAGGGCTTATATTTAAAACTCTAAATGAAGAGTATTAGTATTAGTTAAGAATAGAAATAAATTCAAATTAAATATTCTAATATTTGTTCTTTTATGAAATAGTGACCTAAATTATTTAAATTTAGAATAATAGATAATATTAATGCCTTAATTCTCTTAGGAGAGGAGTAAAAGTACAGGCCTTGCCATTATTACTAGAGCTAGATTATTTATTACGGGATATCTCTGTAATGAGGGTATGGTGCTGCTATAGAAGCAACAGAGAGTATCACCTGGTCACTAGAGCTCTGATATAGCTGTTATGATCGTGGTGAAGGAGTGGTTAAGGCTATCTAACAGCTATGGAGGGGTAGAAGGATAAGGCGCAGGGCGCCAAGGCGCGCGAAGCCCTGCCCTAATACCCCTTCGGGGCATTTAGCCAGGTTACTACGTAACAGTTGCCGCCAGCAGAAAAAGACCACGTCCTCGTGGTCACAGCAGCAGCGTGGCAAAACGCAGAAAATGCACAAACAACAGCATCTCTCCGAGCTGACACTCTCTCCTGATTCGGTCTAGCGCCGCAGCCGCGGTCGAGGCTCTCCGTAGAGGGTCGATCCATCGGCCTGGCGACGCCCTTGGAGTCTAGAGCGCCGCAGGGCGTCTTCGTACGCCTGCACTGACTTTTGAGCATTCGGAAATGCTGTTTGAGCCTCCCAAGTATCGTCATCCTCGCCAAAGCCATGCCATCTAACCTTGTATGTTATTGCCTCGCCGTTGACGAGCTTGCCCACTATCTTCTCTATCTCCCATTGTTCCATCCCTTTTTCGTCGATATGGTCTGGGGGAAGAGGTACATTTCGCTGATAAGGGTCGTCTTCAGGGTCTGGCGCAGGGTCAAATGTTTTGGACGTTGTGTGTTGGGTAGCGCGTTGCCCTTGCCCACAGTCTCTAGAATTCGAAAGGCTCTCGTGTAACGTGGAGATAACGCAAATTTACGTGTTGAGGGCAACGAGTAGGTCTTTAGCGAAAGACGCAGTCAAGCCCACCCAGATTCGAAAGATCGGTCTTGCAAAGCTCTGTTAGCTATTGTATCAGCCGCTAATTGAAGCCCTTTTATTGTGATATCTCTTGCTGCCTACTATTTAGTAACAAGTTGCTCTAGCGCTTCTAGTATTAATAGCGTTAATTAAGTAGCAGAAGTAAAGTTATAGATCACCTGAAATAGAGTCTGTTTAACAACAGATAAGTAGTTTATATTAAAGTAGAACTTAATAATAAGTAAGAAAAGTCTTTAGTCAGCCTGTGTTATATTAACATAAAAGCGTAAGGCTATCTCTAGCTCTTAATTAATGTGTTTAGACTACTTATCTACAGATAAATAGTATGCTATAGTATAGATTAGTCACGTGTTAACTAATTTAAATACTCTCTTCTAAAGCGCAACTATAAATCGTATGTCTCTATCAGTAGTAATAGTATTAAGTAAGCCATAGTCCCTCTTGCAGAAAACGTTATTCTAGAGGCATTTAGCCTATTTCTTAGCTGTTTACGCCTTCTTCCCTGTTTCAAAAGCTACTTATTTTAAAAATCAGTTAATAATAACTAGAATCATATTATGTTCATCCTCTGAGGGTAGGTTAGTAATAAAATCTATTATTAAGAAGTAAAAAGGCTATAGAGGTGCTTAAAGCAGTTAGAGAGGTAGTACAAAGCCTATATAACACAGCTTATTTATTCCGTATCTTGCATAGTAATATATATAAGACAGGATATCTCTACTTATTTTTAGCTACTATATGCCTGCGAGCGCCTCACATAGCCATATATAGCCTCTGTAGACCTAGTCGTTATATACAGCTTGCAGCATTATATGTCGAAAGCTATAAGGGATAACAAAACGCGGTTCAGCTCCCTGCGCGTCAAGTCATATAAGATCCGAACTATTCTCTTGATGGAACAGGGCGTAGGGTTGGTTTAGAAGCCTTTAAGGGTTTAGAGTAGGCAGTGGCATCTCCTAGAACTTCTTATATAGATCGCGAAATTCTTACTTAACCTCCTAGCGTAGTCTCTTAAGTTCTCCTTTGTTAAGCTCTAATAGTATTACTCTGAGAAAGACTTTTTCTTCAGGCTACTAGAGCTCCTTCTAGCTATAAAGCTTTATAGAAAGTCTTAATAATACGTCTAAGACTATTATATTACGGCCTTCTTTATAAATAATCATTATATTATCCTAATACTAACTTAAGAATACTGCCTAGCCTTATTAATATGTATTAATCTTTAGAGAAGATATTATATATAGTAATTTTGCTGCTATAATAATTAGATTTACTTAGTAATTAATATAGATAATAGTCCTTATTTATTTAATATAGATTCATAATTACTTAATTACTTAAACAAGGCCTACTAGTTCTAAGTCTATAGGCTAATAGTTACGTTTAACTAGCGTTAAGCACTTAAATAAAAAAATAATAGGTCTTAAGAAGGTCTTTAATAGCTTATAAGGATCCTAGGCCTTTTTACCTTCTAGCTAATAGGCTATAACACTAAAATCAAGCTCTTTAGATACATTAAGAAATATGTAAAGAATCTTAACAGGGTCGAAATAACAGAGAATATTATTAGCCTTTATAAATGCAGCCTTAAGATCCTTAAATATAGCGTTATGCTAGTTCGTCTATAGATTCCCTAGAGCTTTTAACTCATGACTCTTTTGTTCCTAAGGCTTCTCTAATAAAGAACCTTTATCTTTTTAAGGCGCTTAAAAGATGCTAGTTTTGAGCTTTTAAAGTATCTTAGAGCATTATATAAAGTAAGATACTTATTAATAATGCTATTTAACGAACCTAATAAAGCGTTCTAGGTTATAGCTATTTCTAGGTATATCCTAATTAGTAATAGCTTAGAGCTTCTCTTTAGCTATAGAGTAGCTAAGTTAACTTACTAACTTACTAAGCGTAATAAGCTTCTAAAATCCTAAATAGGTCTTATTAGCCTTAAATATATAACCTGTGTTAGCTAAGCATTAAAATACGACATCTAGATTATAAAGATACTGCTTAAAAGCCTCTTTTGTAAAGATATTAATATTATTAATAT